AATACGCATAAACTTTACTCGGTTCATTATAAGTAAGTGTGAACTCATGAAATGGTATATTTTTGATTGGCCCTAAACATGATAAATGTGTAAACGATTAGAAAAACTGCATTTCCTGTGTTGTGTGTGTATAATGAACCGAGTAGTTATCAGTTAAGGGCCAATCGAAAATATACCATGCTCATTTGATAGAATGACAAATTACAGAGTTTTGTTTGTTGTGTTTGGACAAATGGTACATAAATGTTTGTGATTTGTGTAAAACCTTTTTTCAGATATTTTAAAGTATTGGTTGGTTGTATTAATTATTGTGAAAACATTTGAGAGTTTTGTGCACATTGTTTTGAGAAAATCATTTGCATGTTTTGTATGAAATGAATGAAAACTATATAGCTATATTCATTTACATGCAAACAAATACAGAAGTAATCATATTGATGGCTCAATCGGACGGAAAAACCTTCATGTAAACATTTTATTTGATCCGATTGAGCTCAATTCAAATTAAATTGGAAGGTGTGGTGTAAACCTTTTCTTATGCGTTCTAAAGGACCTAAACATTTGATCGGATTGAAAACCGGTACTGGAAAGTTTTGTGAATGTGCAATGACATAGAAATACCGTAATGACACATGGAACAAGCTGTTGTTTTTGTAGAATGAAGTGTCATAAATGACTGTCATGTTATTCTAAAATTTGCCATCCACTCATCATCTGTGAATTGAAGCAGAACAACAGACCATTAGTCCTCACTTTATACTCTCATCCACAGACAGCTTGTTTTGGCCGTGGGAATGGGTGGTTTTACTGCTTGATAAATATAGGCAGCACAGTACAAATCTGCATATGCTCATCGTCTCCTAATTGGAATCCAAGATGAATATGAAGTCTGCTCTTTAAAACAAAGAAAAGAAACAATGTCTGGAGAATAGTATGTGGGACATACTATACAATATACATACTATACTGACAATAGTGCAGCAGGAAACTCTGTATAAGTTTGCAGTGTGCGCATGCCAATAAATCAAATCCGATATTGAAGCTTGTGACATATAAACGTGCACATCGACCCGGTCACTTTATTTAGCATTCATGTAAATACTATATCTGTGACTTTGTAGTGTGACCTCCACAAAATCACCTTGAGTAGAATAAGTGGTGTTGGGCATTGAGGTATACAGTAATTCTATGCCAGGGGTGTCCAATCCTGTTCCTAGAGGAAAACTCTCCTGAACCAAGCTCCAAGCCCAATTAAACACACCTGAACCAGCTAAACAAGGTCTTTAGACTCACTAGAAATGAAGCTACTTTAACACAAGCCTCCAAGGTTAGCGAAGAAAAGTAAATAATAATAGTACAGATTATTTTCCCTGATAAAACATTCAGCAACAATTTTAGGGCTACACAGAGTATTGGTGTTTTGCGTGATGTGTAATTTTGTAACTTTGGTTAATATTTGGTTGTTATGTCAGCTGTGATGCATGCTTGTAAGGCTCATCACTGCAAATACACATTTACATTCACTCACAGTTCATTTGAAAACCAAATCTGCACCTAATCTTCTAAAACTAAGGAATACATGCAAAATGGTTGCATGGTAAATAATTGATATGTTGCTGTATTTTCTATTTCAAACTTCTTCAAAGGATTTTCTGAATGTCCAGTGATTGCTCGGTACTCTGGACAGTAAAAAATACAATATGAAGTCATCATATTTTTGAAGTTTAAGTATCTTCTTTAGTGCACAGGTTCATGACTTGTCCTGAATTGTTTTCCTTTTTGTGTTTGAGTGTGCTCCCCAAGAAATGTCAAATGCTGGTTACACTTTATTTTGATAGTCCACTTTAGACATTCTACTAACTATAAGTAACTACATGTTAACTAATTCTCATTAATTTGCAACTACATGTCTACTAACTCTCAGAGTGGACTGTTAGGTTAGGTTTAGGGTTAGGGTTAGTAGAATAAGTTGACATATACTTGCAAAGTTTCTTATAGTCAGTATGTTGTATGTTGTGGACCCATCAAAATAAAGTGTTAGAAGATATTAAGCAGACAGACTACTCTAATAACTGCTAGTCGACATGTAGTTGCCAAGTTACTTACTGTTAGCAGCATGTCTAATGTGGACTATTGAAATAAAGTGTTACCCAAAAGCTTGCTTTCAAATGTTTTTGCATTCAAAAGCAGAAAATGGCCTTGCATACACTACAGTATAGGCTACAGCATGTGAGGGAATTTTCTGCCTTTGAATGCAAAGTTGACTTTTATAGAACTACCCATTGTCAGGTCTGAAATGTCTTCATCGGTTCTTCCTCAGGGCTTCACATTCATGTTGTGCTTTTGATCTTACAGTTACTGTCACAATAGCATAAAAATTATACAGCATTTGGGTGCAGTGAAACTACCTACCTGCAGAGTTCAGTTCCAACCCTGCTTCAGCACACCTGCCTGTAATTATCAAGTGCTCCTGAATATCTTAATTAGCTGGTTAAACAGTTTGATCAGGGTTGGAACTGAACTTTGCTTGAAGGTAGATCTCCAGGACTAGGCACCCCTGGAATTTACCTTATCCATACTTTTTAAATAGCTACTTGGAATGCTTTCATATGTAACGGAGTGATTTTTATTGGGACGTACAACACATTTAATTCATTATGTTGGATCCTACATGAATCTTACGTGCACCTGTGTGCCTCCGTTCGCACCTTTCACTTCTTTAGCTACGGCCCAGCCTAAAGGCAAATGCTTGCCAGTTTGTTTGAATGCTGTTCAAGATATGCTTTACTAGATCTGATTTGCATTTCTGCAACTAAGTATTTCCACAGAGTACCAGAGAGAGTCCCAGAAACCCATTTGAAAAAGAATAAGAGAAATTCCAGCTTTGCAAAATATGTTCTGATGGTTTAACAGCTGGAGACTGTGTGGAAATTTGCTTTCTATGTCTGTTTCTTTTGTTTGTTAAAGTTAGGAGAAAAAAACGAACAAAAAAAAAAAGTTTTTGTATATTGTTCAGATCAAAATTAATTCTGGGACCATTGCATGAAACCAACTTGGGGCACATGCAAAAATGTTTAATTCCATATTTACCGGCCCGCAGTTTCTTACCTATGAGGTTCATTTGACTGGTTAAATGCAGCCGTTTTGTTTGTCTGTGAAGGTGTGCTGTGATTGGTCACACCATCACACTAATTTGTCATTGGCTGTATGTAAGTTAGAGTAAGAGAGAGTCAGTGTCATCATGCACAGTTCTGTCCTCAACTTCTACTGATCACTGAAAAAAAATAAAATAAATATTCACAGAACATCTTCAGTGGATGAAGATGAAGACGACACTCGCTCTGCTCCTAATCATGGAGCTCTGCGGACTCTCCTCCGGTCTCATTAAACATCATTTCTTTGTAAAAGATAAGATGACATGGGATTCTGCAAGCAAGTACTGCAAAACTTACTTTCATGACCTCTCCACCTTCACCAACGAGAACGAGGAACAGCCATTTTTGGAAGATGCAGCTTATCAGCCTTCTGATGCCTGGGTTGGACTCTACAAAGAATCAGGAGTCTGGAAGTGGTCAGGAGGTGAAAATGCAACACAAATTAACTGGGATACACGTAATAAACAACCTGAAAATGATGGCTGTGCTTTTCTACACAAAGGCCATAAGAAACTACATGACATAGACTGCAATGGCAAATACTCCTTCTTCTGTATGAACATAGAGCTTGTTCTGGTGCTGCGGAATGAGACCTGGGAAGGAGCTCTAGAATACTGCCAAAAACAAAACAATGATCTAGCAAGTCTGAGTTCACTTAGCATGATGGATTCTGCTTTAGGGAAAATCACACAGGCTCAAACAAAATATGTGTGGACTGGTCTGCGCTTTCTAGCAGGGGACTGGTTCTGGGTCAATGGAAATGTTCTTGACTACACAGCCTGGTCTAAGACAGGACAGCCCCAGTGTCCTGCCAGAGACCTTCGTTGTGGAGCCCTGGACAAGCAAACAAGGGATTGGACAAACAGAGATTGTGAAGAGACGCTCAACTTCTTTTGTTCTGCACAGGCAGTAAAATGTAGGCCACCTGTTCGTCTCACAAGCTCAACTCCCCAGAAAGGGCATAATTACAGTGGACCGTGCTTAGGTTTATGGATCTTTACGTTTGTATTTTTCCAGAAACTGCATATAATTTTATTTTGATACAAGTAGTTTTATATGCCTCAAATGTAAGCTGCTTTAATTGAGAATGCATATTATATTCATACATATTTTTATATGTTTGTGTGTTTTGTTATAAGGAATACTTTCAGCAAAGTTATAATTCTCCCTATATATATTTTTTATATTTTGCAGTTCAACAGCAAGAAAAACAACAATAACAAGAAAACATCCCCCACCCAGTAGTATATGTGAATCCAGCATAACTACAGTAATATGTGAATCCAGCATAACTACAGTAATATGTGATTATCTGTATAAATACAGATAATAATAATAATAAATAAATAACCAATTTTACAAGACTTTCAAAACCCTGCAAATACAATGCAAAAAAGCCTGTCCAACATATCCTGCGGGTTACCAGAGCAATCGTCTGGTGATTATTTTCACCAACAGAGTGAGCTGCGAGCTACACTTATTACTTGGTCGTGCACCACTATTTTAGACATGAAGAACCTGGATGAGAGATTGTCTTCAGTTATCAAAAGAAACACATGTAGGCTACTATATAACAGGGCTGAACAGGATGTGAGATTTTGTACGTTTTTTTTTTCTTCTTGTACATAGATTTGTGTCACAATGCATAATTAACACACATATCTTAATTGAATGACTTGGGTAAAAGTATACACACACACACCTTCCTAAAATGCAAAATAATGTGTCTAATTAGAGATATTAAGAACCCGTATCCAAAACACAAATTTGAAATAAAATCTGAAAAATTTAAAAAGTTTTATTTTGTGTATATATTCACGGTTTGTGAAAATGATAGAAATTAATTAGAAAATGTCAACAAATATATTTGTTAAATGCAGTTTTATTTATCATATGTTCTCGAATTAGTTTTATTTTTGAAATGTGTTTTTTGTAAAGTTATAATCTTATAATATACAATTTGATCAGTTTGATTTTTGCAATGGTTACTGTTTACTATTTGTAATTATGTGATTTTTGGTGAATTTTATTAAAACCAGTTAGGTTAACCTGCAAATATCATAATAAATATAAATAATAAAACATGGAACCCGCAATAATAATAAAAATAAAAAATACAAAAACATTGTGTCCTGTATTTTGTTTTAATTAATAGATCATAACAAGTGAGATTTCAATGATATTTTGACCACTGAACTTTGAGATGTCCAGGTCTCAGAAATCTGTTCCTTTTTAAAGAGGACCTATTATTCAAAAATCACTTTTATAAGGTTTGAGCACAGTTGTGTGGCTGCAGATTATGAAAACAACCAGCCTATAATGGTAAAAATCCACCCACTCATTTTTTTTTTTTTAATAATCCCAATAAATTATAAACAGTCTCTCCAAATGAGCGGTTTCAGATTCTCCCTCTTTACATGTCAGTGACGGGAAAAAGTCCCACCCATTTCTGACGCTCTCTGCCCTATTAGCATAGACACGCCGTTACCGTTTCCTTGCTGTAACGTTAGCTGCTGAAGATGTAATGTGCTGACATTGTATAAGAGGCATTACAAGTGTTGTGTTTTGGGATACACGAACATAGGAGTCTCCATAGACTCCCTCCATCCGAGTTGCTGAGGACACTGTGGTTAAACTTAATTTTGAAAGTTAGTATCCCGGAAAAAAAGTCTCCTATATGTTTAGGGATCAATATCAACGTAGCATGCGTGAACGGCAGCTCCAGACAAAGTAAGTGACGCGTTTGTTTCCCAAATTGCCTTTCTGAAAGAGCTTCTTGGCACTCTGTAAGGCTAATGTAGCTAAAGCTATGCCTGTTCTGGAGAAGCAGATCCGGTGGAGAAGCAGGCCTCTGCTGCCTCCAGACGACGGCGCTCTGCACCTGATGTTTAGACTGGCGTCGTAAAATGCACAGAGCACGCAGTTTGGGTAGCTAGTGGTGCTTGCTTGCAGCTGGAAAAGTCTAATATGGTCCTTGAGAGCTCTGTCCCCCTGCTCCAGCAGGAGGAGGTATTCGGGGCGAAGAAGGACATCCATCCAGGAAACTCAATGGAAAAAAAGACACTGGGAAAAAGAAGAAAACAAACGGAGGGTAAAACACAGAGGTGACTGTATTCGGTCGGAACTTCTGTCACAATATGCTGTTTAGGAAGCACGCAGGAGGCACGAGTAATCCACGGAACACAGGAGAAATCCACACAATAGGCACTGGAAAACACACATACATAAATAGTAGACCCGACAAACACAGAACGCAAAAGGCATTGACTTAAATACAAGGCATAATTGGAGAAACACAGGTGGATCTCATATGACAATCAGACTAGCCGAGGACAGGAACATGACCAAAGACATGACCAAATAATGACAAACAGGAACAGAAACAGGGGCAAAACATGACACAGACAGTCCAGAATCCTGACAATGGGTCTAAAAACCCGTATTAATTTTTCATGTTATTCCAAACTTCGCTGGGCTTTTTAAAAATCTTTTGAAATCAGTTTATTTGAGCATTTAATATCCCCTGCTCTATAAATTCCATGATCCATAAATATTCATAATATCTTTTCACAATGACCACAAATTAATATTTATGAATTTTTTCCTAGGTTTTGTGTCAAAAGTGACCCATCAATGTAAACATGAGTGGTGGCTGTGTTTTGTTTTTTATCCTACATCTTCCCATTGCCTTTATAATATGGTTTTGAAGGTGGGGTGTGCCCTCCAAACGCCTCTTCATATGTGGCATAACAAGCTCTTTGACCAGCTCCTTGATGAATAGCCATCATGCATTGGTGACACCACCTATGTAATCAGGGTGTTGCTCAGTGAAGTTGGTGTAGGCCAGCGGTGGCCAACAATGGTCCTGGAGAGCCACAGTCCAGCAGAGTTTTGCTCCAACCTTGATAAAAACTCACCTGCCTGTAGCTTTCTAGTAATCCTTAGACCTTGATTAGCTTGTTCAGGTGTGTTTGATTAGGGTTGGAGCAGGACTGTGGTTCTCCAGGACCAACATTGGCTGCCCCTGGTGTAGGCAATGGTGGTGGTAACATCCAGCACATTGCACCACAGCACCGTGTGCCATCTCCGTGTTCTCTGCGTACATGAGTAGGTGCAAACCATTTTTACTCAATCTATTAGACTGGGTCTGAGTTTCTTCTTCAGAGGACTCATCAGACAAGTCTTCAATGTCATCAAATGAGTCTTCTTCATCTAGGAGAGCTGGATTTACACCCACAGGTTGACCCTGTGGCACATAGTCTAGGTCAGGAGTAGGCAAGTTCGGTCCTAGAGAGCCGCAGTCCTGCAGAGTTCAGCTCCAACCCTAATCAGACACCCCTGAACAAGCTAATCAATGTCTTCAGGATTACTAAGGCTGTAGGCAGGTGAGTTTTTTTTCAGGGTTGGAGCTGAACTCTGCAGGACTGCGGCTCTCTAGGACCGAACTTGCCTACCCCTGGTCTAGGTCATCAGCATCAGCTATTTCAGACTCTGAATCAGGACTAAGAATGGCCTCATCTTCCTCATCATGCAGCATCTCTACAATAATTTCAGCTGTTAATCTAGAATGTCTGGGATCAGCCATACTAACACTCTAGATAAAGGAACACTGACAGACATAAAGGGTGACCAATAGTATTGATTTATGACAAAAAAGAAAAATGATGGAATGTGGAGATACAAGGTTTCCACCTGACAGCAATAATATATACAGGTGCATCTCAATAAATTAGAATGTCATGGAAAAGTTCATTTACTTCAGTAATTCAACTCAAATTGTGAAACTCGTGTATTAAATAAATTCAGTGCACACAGACTGAAGTAGTTTAAGTCTTTGGTTATTTTAATTGTGATGATTTTGACTCACATTTAACAAAAACCCACCAATTCCCTATCTCAGCATTATACTATATCAGAGTGTATACTGTGCATTGCATATTGTACTGACAACATATCCAGATATTTTCAAGCAGAATAATTGAAATCTGAAATATAAATTATCTATGATATTCAGGTTTAAAGGTTTAAAAAAAAATCTAATTGATCAGATGATCCGGTTGAAGAGGGAAGAGTTTTAGTGCATAAAGACATATTTTAATCTGTAATTCACACAAATCTATCGTATGGTTTCAGAAGCCTTGGCATACAGAGCATATGGGCTACTTTTTTTTCCTTTATCTGTGACCATTCATATTCATTCCGTGGAAAAAACACCCAGGATATTTTTTCCACATAAGAAAGGTTTGGAACAATGTGAAGTTGAGTAAATTATTGGTTTCTCATTTTGATTCATTTTTACTCTAATTTATTATTTGCTTTGTCTATCTTGATGCAAACTCATCTTTTCCGCACAGTCATGGATTCATTTGAGTGATTTCACACTTTGCCTCTCTCTCTATGTCACACACAAATACTGTGTTTGAAAGGCAAATGTACATAAGCGCTATTTACATCCCCACAGCTGACCTTCCTTTGGGTCTCTCTCTTTCTCTCTCTCTCTCTCTCTCTCTCTCTCTCTCACTCTCTCTCTCTCCTGAAAGGCAAAGTCTGCTCATGTGTTTTGGTGCGGAGATATGCTCCACCTTGCCTCAGGACAGCTGTAGTACAGACAGACAGGGAAAAAAAAATAAAAAAGAAGAACGAAAAAAAAAGGAAACCCAGCAGAACATGTCAGTGTAGGCCAGGGGACATGTTATGTATGACCAAAGCCACCAATTGAAAATGAGAGCAAATTCCTGTATTTCAAATGGATATATCTAGACAACCAAATTTAAAAAGTGATTTCACCTGAGTCTGAATTGAAATTGTAACAAAAATTTAAGTTAAAGGATCTGTAATAAGGATCAATAAGTGAGAGATCAATTACTCTCATACAGTATGACATCATTCCAACTCCTATAAATGGCAGCAAAGAAACTGGACTGAGTTGTTGAGATGTCCAACAGTGAACACAGGGAATGTTTGTGACCATTATGAAACTGAGTATGCTTACAGTATGATGACATAACTAACACGAACATGTGTCCTTCACGCTTCATTACTGTGGACATAGTTAAACAGCAGACAGCGCATATGAGACATGACTCAGAGTCAAAGGGAACTTATCAAACGAGAGCACAAAACATCTGAACTGTGTGAAACGTGCCTTCTCTTGCAGACCTGTATGTGTCCGGCTTTATTCAAGACAAGAACCTTCAATGCAAGATTGAATGCTTTTGAAATAACAATACTGAATGAATACTGATCACAATTTTGAAATGTATTTTCTTTAATAAAACATGTAAAGTGACATGAACATTTCTTGATTGTCAACTCTTGAAAGACTGAGCTCAGTACAAGTACAGACTCAGGGGTTCTGCCAAGGGTGATGCCTGCCTCCAGAAAGAACAGCACCCCCCTACAACACACACAAAATAGAAATGCTGCTAGGAGTTTCGGTCAGTTCGACAGTTTGGGAGCAGTTCCTCCCCCCAGCTCCACTTTAACCTTGTGTGTAGGCAGATGATGTGGGATTTGTTGTCTGTGAGTATATAGAAGAATATATTGTTTCACAATTTCCAATCTCCGACTTTGAACAGGAAAATTTGGTAAACTATACTTAATCTAGTATACTAAATCTAAACACTACATATCATATAGTAATGCATTCTTCACCCAGAATAGGCAAAACGTAGGATTAAATTATGTCTTTTACACAGAGAATATGAGCGTAAACATGAACAGAGAATGTGAGTTTCTGATGCATTGGTGTGTGACTGACAGCAGGTGGCAGTAATTGACATCATAGTAATTGCCACTTCTTCCAAAAACAGATATTTGTACTTATTTTTGTTCATATTAAATACGCACAAAGACGTTGGGTTTCCATGGTTTATGTGTGTAATTGTTATACTATACAAACGGTATTTTCTATGCCCCTTAAACCTACCCATCACACAATACTGCCATGTTTAGATTTTTTAAAAATCATGGTTTCATCTGATTTATAAATGGTTTTCCTCATGGCGACCAAAAAAAAACGTCCCCACAAAGACAGGGATTTTGAATATTGCCATCTTTGTGGGGAAATGTTGACACACACACACACACACACAGTCCTCAATCATTTTCAGTGAGAGGAGCAGGCAGAACTTAAAGGAATTCATTTTAATTTTGCTGAAATAGTTTATTTCAATAGTTCAGTTTGCTGAAAAATTGCTTACCCACAGGAAATACAAGATGTAGATGAGTTTGTTTCTTCATCCAGAGAGATTTGTAGAAATTTGCTATTATATCATTGTTGTGATGTTTTTATCAGCTGTTCGGACTCTCAATCTGACGGCACCCATTCACTGCAGAGGATCCATTGGTGAGCAAGTGATGTAATGCTACATTTCTCCAAATCTGTTCTAATGAGCAAGCAAATTCATATACAGTACATCTTAGATGGCCTGAGGTTGAGTGAATTTTCAGCAAATTTTCATTTTTGGGTGAACTATTTCTTTAAAGGAAGACCATAACTGCAGTGAAGGAAAATATGTCTGCACTGAGTAAATAAAAGATTAAACATAACAAAACTATCACATACATTTATACACACACACACACACAGTATCATTCTCTCTCCGTGTCTATTACTCTCTTTATTTCTCAGTGATTGGGACCATATACAGCAGGCAGCATCATGAAAACAGAGACTAACTCTCATCTGCAAACAACACACATATGGCAACACAGGCCAATCATGCACAAGTATTTCTGACATAATTAGGCCTGTTTGTGGCAGAGGTGGAGTCAGTGTTGATTCACTACAGCCCTGCATCAAAAAAAGAGCCTCTTTATGAAAGGGCTGAAATAGTGTTGATTCACTACAGCCCTGCATCAAAAAAAGAGCCATCTACACCTGTAAAACACTCAGGTTTACACAGAAGCCTGCAATTTTAATATTCTTCTATATTTTAGGGCAAATCATGTGATGTGATGACATGATGTGTTCATGTATTCTGGGTTATAATACATAAGAAGCACACACAACATAGACTTTGCTACTACTGCACTTTCGCTACTACCTGTTTGCCTGATCTGATCATCTTTATTATTAAACCCGTGTTAGAAATCTGTTCTTCTGTCTTCCTGCAAACACCCGTTATACTGTCTGTACAAATTTGCTTTGACACCAAATGATACTGACATGCAAAATACTGTTTGAGCAGTTATGTGTTTTTTTTTATTTAGTTCCATATATACACTATAAAAACCAAAAAGGTTTGCATCAATCTTTTGGAGTTTGGACAACTTCTAATGAAATTATGTTCAACCAATAAAGCACATTTGAGTAAGAGGAACTTAATCATAAACATAAATCTTCATAAAGTTGGATTGTGGCCCTGGAACCAATTAATTTGATCTATTTCCGTTCAAATGAACAGCAAGCATAGCACATGCTAAATGCAACATATTTAGCAAATGATTTTAATGAACAAGTAAAATATTACTTGTCACTATAGTATTAGTGGAGTCATTGCTCATATAAGCAATGTAGTTTAGATTACTCACAACATTACAGCTGCAGTCCGTAACTTTTTTTGGTTAAAAATTATCCGAAATCAATATTTGAGCAAGTACATAACCAGTCAGTGTTCAAAACTATCGCCTTACTTTAGCCCGATTCACAACGGATAGCTTATATTAATGTTTTCTAATTTGAGTGGTACGGGTAGGGTTGACAATTAGATTAGACTGTGCAGAAATTGAAATCTACACACTATACTCATAGTCACCAATGCTGATGTTGTTAACATTAATCATTTGAGAATAAAGTATAACAATAATAATAATTTGAACGGTTTGATGTGATATGAGCTAACCGATCTTTAGATTTAATCACCATTAGTAGCGAGATTTATGGTAGGCCTAATGCTTTTTTCCTCAGTTGGTCAGAACAAACGTGGCAGACTTGTTCAGATGGCAATATACGGTGAAAATTCTTATTTGGGTCATATTGCAAGACGTAGGCTAGAATCTGTGATTGCGAAGTACAGTAAATATCCACACAGGTGCGGTAACTGACTGCCACACATACTCCTCAAAATATTAGATTCATCCGCGCTGGAGCCGTGCCGACTCACAACCCACACAAGCTAGATAATTCCGCAGACAGCTGCAATTCCAGGTTTTCAAACAGAGATGGCGACAAAGAGGCAAAACCTACGGACTGCAGCTTTAAGTTAATGTAATGATCAACAATATTAATATAGAACTCATCAAAATGTTTGCAACTTAAATCAATAATTTAGAATGGTTAACTTTAAAGTTGCAATCATGCATTTGTTATCTTGCAGCCGTTTTAATATTTCCACTGAATTTTTTTTTAGAGTGTAAAGGGGGTGGCTCATCTTACCCCACTCTCCTGTTTTCCACATATTGTTTAAGTTCTCAGCAAACACAATCACATTTTTGGCTGCTGCCTCTTTTAACACTATGAGTGATTGGAAACAGAACAGAAATGTCTGTGCGTGTCTAAGTGTGTGTGTGTGTGTGTGTGTGTGTGTGTGTGTGTGTGTGTGTGTGTAAGCACAGGTTTATTTATGAGTGGATGTGTGCAAGGGCTAATATATTCATGGCTGTGTGTGTGACTGAAGAAAGAGGGAATGTGTGTGCCAGTTTATTCATGGTTATGGTCCCTGTCACACACGCAACCCTGAGTCACAGCAGTCAGACCCACATCTAACAGCCCAGTGAGCAGATAAGTTTAAACACAAAGACACACACACTTACAATGACACACACAGACAAAAACAGCCATGAATAAGCTGGCATACAGATTCATCCACACACATTAACTTTTCCACATAAATAAAAGAAAAACAGGGGAGCAAATAGCATAGCAGAAATGGAATAGCAAGATTTTCACTCGTACATGTCACATCAGTGATTGGAAACAGAACAGAAATGTCTGTGCGTGTCTAAGTGTGTGTGTGTGTGTGTGTGTGTGTGTGTGTGTGTGTGTGTGTGTAAGCACAGGTTTATTTATGAGTGGATGTGTGCAAGGGCTATTATATTTATGCCTGTGTGTGTGAGTGAAGAGAGAGGGAATGTGTGTGTGTGTCAGTTTATTCATGGTTGTGTTCTCTGTCACACACGCAAGCCTGAGTCACAGCAGTCAGAGCCACATCTAACAGCCCAGTGAGCAGATAAGTTTAAACACAAAGACACACAATCACAATGACACACACAGACAAACACAGCCATGAATAAACTGGCACACAGATTCATCCACACACGTGAACTTTTCCACATAAATAAAGACAAACAGGGGAGCAAACAGCATAGCAGAAATAGAATAGCGACTCTCGCTAGCGATGTTACTCTCGCTCTTGCATGTCACATCTCACATGTTTTTCCAGGCAGAACCCATGAAGGGGGCTCAAGTTTTAGTTAAGGCCTGAGGTAAAACACTCACTCCCACCATAATCTGCTAGATAGAACAGCTCACTGCCTCTGTTTACTTTCTTCTGATGATGCACCTGTGAAACACAAATGAACCTACTCAAGGTCATTCTGTACCATTGACGGAATTATCATTTTATCTCAAAACGAGAATCACTACTGCAGTTATTTAATAATTTAGGATGCATGGTACACATTTACCACCGACATGGGATGGTACTACACTGGTGCATGTTCTATAGAGATCATAATATTTTGGTACTTTTTTTATATATGCATAAATAACATTTTCCAGGCAAAAAAACTCAAATGCATAAAAAATGACATAAAAAGTGCTTTTTTGCTTTTATTATATTATATTATATATTGAAGTGGTCTCTGACATTACAGGCCTGTCAGTCTTTGCTACTGTGAACTAACTGTTTTCATATTTAGTTAGCTACTTTTTATATTAAAACAGATTTTGTATTATTATTCCTGTCTTCCATGTAAAAAAGTTATCACATGTGATTTTTACTTCAAAGAGCTTTTCATATCTGATTTAACACATGGAAATTACTTTTGCTGGCATTAATTAATGTATTTAGGTTGTTTCAGTGATATTTAAGTTTGACTTCAATAAAAACCAGTTAATTTAGATGTTGCCATTTAAGGTTACCAGTGTATTTACATAAATACCAGTGTCCATAGTGCAAAAAAACAAACAACACAAAAAAGTGTTTCTGCAGTGATTTTTCAACATGTTGGCATGTGCTAAAGGCTAAGAGGTTGGTGCAGTCTCCACCTCAGTTATGCTGACTATAAATGATGGTGCACAGACACCATCAGCATGGAAAGAGTGATGAACATGAAGCATTAGCATTCTCCATCCTAAAATTTGCACAGAACTGAAACAAGAGCTTAACTAAAACTTGTTATGAATGTCAATTAACGCAATTGCAAGTCTGTAGAGAAAAATGGGTTTAAAACCAATTCTGTTGAAAGAGAACATGTGTTTTGTTACGCTCGGATCGTTCTTTATATTTATTTATAACTTTAGAGGAGATATTATCATCGCAGCATCGTTCATCCAAACTGCAACCGCGTTGCTACGTCAGTCAGCGCGTCTTCTCTCTCTGCGCGCAACGTTCACCGCTCCGGCGCGCGTGCCAAAGCCAATAGTTTCTCTGACAACTCTGGCACAGACAGTGATATTCTGCCAGAGGTCACGAGAAGGAGGTACGCCACATTTCTGTGTTGGTGGGGAGCGTGTGTATTTGTATATACATTTAAAGGAAAGAGAGTTGTTTTCTCCCTTGCCATACTTTCCAGTTCGCGTGTCACCATTTCCTCCAAAAACGAGCCGGACTTTTTAGTGCGAGCTTCCCGGGTGCTCCACAGCAAGCGAATAATTGGCGCGGTCGTGGGCATCGTCATGATCGTGGCGCTGGTCATCGCAATTCCGCTTCTGATCCAGACCTCCGAGGTTTCAGCGCACTACGAAATGATGGGCACTTGTCGGATGATCTGTGATCCGTACAACCCCAAACCGAGCGCCACGGCTCTGGAGGTGATGCAGGATCTCAGTGCCATCCCACCATCTTTCGCTCAAGGGACTAGAGGGGAACCGGGCCGTACGGGCAAACCGGGACCCAGGGGTCCACCTGGCGAACCAGGTCCACCTGGTCCAAGGGGACCACCTGGAGACTCCGGCAGACCAGGATTTACCGGCATCACGTCGGGAACGGCGAGGACCGAGACTGGAGACGTTGGTCCAGCGTTGGGGAACATCAAGATCGCGTTTTATGTGGGTCTCAAGAACCCCCACGAAGGCTACGAGGTGCTTCGGTTTGATGATGTTGTGACAAATGTGGGAAATCACTATGATCCCACTACTGGCAAGTTTACGTGCCAGGTATCGGGGATTTACTACTTCACCTACCATGTGCTGATGCGCGGAGGGGACGGAACAAGCATGTGGGCAGACCTCTGTAAAAACGGACAGGTATTTCTACTAAGTTTACAGGAGCAAAACAGTCAATGTAGTCATTATTTATCGCTTTAATCTAGATTTCCACATCAGATAGATAGAATTGGCCAAATGCATGAAGGTGCCGAAAGAGAATCGGGTTGCGCGCGATTTTGTCCAGAACTTTCTAAGCTACTGATCAGAAATGATCGAAAAAGTCGACGCCACTTCAAGTCATTGAATAAATCGCACACCGATAAAACAAAATTCCAAATTAGTTTTATACGATTACTTTGATACGATTCAAATGCATCGACTATTAAGTAATTGCGCATGGTGTGGTAATTACGCGTATCAAACACGATCCACGTCTGGTGCGTTTGAAGAACTCTATGGATGTGACTGTAGTCGGACATGTTAGTTTATAGGCTATATAAAACGCCGAAAAGTAGTCTAAACTGACAAAAAGGCCCTCTTGGCTGTTTTCTTTGATTTGCAACTGGCGTTGAAGGCAAAAAAGTCTAAATCTTACTGGTTCTCTGGGCGATTTAGTAGGCTATAATAATAATTTCAACAATAGACTATGTATCATCCAACAAAATACGATTTGCATTGCGAGATAAAGAGCAGTCGAACGCATAGGCATATTGTGCATTAATAGCACAACATTGACTGTTGTTGCTGCAGACAGGGAGGTGAATCCATGTATGATGTCTTAAAATAACAGTAAAAATAAACAAATAATTAGGGTTATTAGTCATTAGCCTATTGTAAGTCGTGCCTTTCTTAATTCGTTCTCAAAACTAGCAAGGCGAGTAAAAGTGTGATCCTTATTCACAATTATTAAAACAAAATGAAACGTTTCTTATCAGTTAAGATCCATTTATTTTAAGAGCCCAAACCGAGTGCCACGGCGCTGGAGGTGATGCAGGATCTCAGTGCCATTCCACCATCTTTCACTCAAGGGACTAGAGGGGAACCGGGGCGTCCGGGCAAACCGGGTCCCAGGGGTCCACCTGGCGAACCAGGTCCACCTGGTCCAAGGGGACCACCTGGAGACTCCGGCAGACCAGGATTTACCGGCATCACGTCGGGAACGGCGAGGACCGAGACTGGAGACGTTGGTCCAGCGTTGGGGAACATCAAGATCGCGTTTTATGTGGGTCTCAAGAACCCCCACGAAGGCTACGAGGTGCTTCGGTTTGATGATGTTGTGACAAATGTGGGAAATCACTATGATCCCACTACTGGCAAGTTTACGTGCCAGGTATCGGGGATTTACTACTTCACCTACCATGTGCTGATGCGCGGAGGGGACGGAACAAGCATGTGGGCAGACCTCTGTAAAAACGGACAGGTATTTCTACTAAGTTTACAGGAGCAAAACAGTCAATGTAGTCATTATTTATCGCTTTAATCTAGATTTCCACATCAGATAGATAGAATTGGCTAAATGCATCAAATGCATCGAAGAGAATCGGGTTGCGCGCGGTGTGGTAATTACGCGTATCAAACACGATCCACGTCTGGTGCGTTTGAAGAACTCTATGGATGTGACTGTAGTCGGACATGTTAGTTTATAGGCTATATAAAACGCCGAAAAGTAGTCTAAACTGACAAAAAGGCCCTCTTGGCTGTTTTCTTTGATTTGCAACTGGCGTTGAAGGCAAAATGTCTAAATCTTACTGGTTCTCTGGGCGATTTAGTAGGCTTTAATAATCATTTCAACAATAGACTATGTATCATCCAACAAAATACGATTTGCATTGCGAGATAAAGAGCAGTCGAACGCATAGGCATATTGTGCATTAATAGCACAACATTGGCTGTTGTTGCTGCAGACAGGGAGGTGAATCCATGTATGATGTCTTAAAATAACAGTAATAATAAACAAATAATTAGGGTTATTAGTCATTAGCCTATTGTAAGTCGTGCCTTTCTTAATTCGTTCTCAAAACTGGCAAGGCGAGTAAAAGTGTGATCCTTATTCACAATTATTAAAACAAAATGAAACGTTTCTTATCAGTTAAGATCCATTTATTTTAAGAGATGTTTTATTTCTAAATTACAGGCGATAGGTGCTGGCACTGAATGACAATCTGCGTTTATTTGAACAGGTTCGGGCGAGCGCCATCGCGCAAGACGCCGATCAGAACTACGACTACGCGAGCAACAGCGTCGTGCTGCACCTGGACTCTGGCGACGAGATTTATGTCAAACTCGACGGCGGAAGTCTAAATCTTACTGGTTCTCTGGGCGATTTAGTAGGCTATAATAATAATTTCAACAATAGACTATGTATCATCCAACAAAATACGATTTGCATTGCGAGATAAAGAGCAGTCGAACGCATAGGCATATTGTGCATTAATAGCACAACATTGACTGTTGTTGCTGCAGACAGGGAGGTGAATCCATGTATGATGTCTTAAAATAACAGTAAAAATAAACAAATAATTAGGGTTATTAGTCATTAGCCTATTGTAAGTCGTGCCTTTCTTAATTCGTTCTCAAAACTAGCAAGGCGAGTAAAAGTGTGATCCTTATTCACAAATATTAAAACAAAATGAAACGTTTCTTATCAGTTAAGATCCATTTATTTTAAGAGGTGTTTTTTTCTAAATTACAGGCGATAGGTGCTGGCACTGAATGACAATCTGCGTTTATTTGAACAGGTTCGGGCGAGCGCCATCGCGCAAGACGCCGATCAGAACTACGACTACGCGAGCAACAGCGTCGTGCTGCACCTGGACTCTGGCGACGAGATTTATGTCAAACTCGACGGCGGAAAGGCGCACGGAGGAAATAACAACAAATACAGTACATTTTCTGGTTTCATTCTGTATCCAGACTGAACCCCCACCTGCTTCGTCTCAAGCTGACTGTTAATGAATCTTCTCTCTCCGCGCGGCACATATTCCCTCGGCACTCCATTGTCATTCCTGTCTGTAGTGTCTTTGGGAATATAAGGGTCATCTGAACTCAGCGCCAGTATGAGAATATGTTGTCTGAATTTGTCCCTTTCTGTTTAATGATGTCTTGTGTTTGGCTACTATTATACCCGATTAACCGAAATGCGTTAATTACGCACAGGATGGTGATGATGATACAACACTTAAATGATTATTAGCATATATGTAATTGTTCTCTGGGTGATTTTTGCTCAAATTAAATTATTTTCCTGCATTTGTGAGCCCCTAGTGGCCCCTAGTGTGGACAAATCTGGACAAGCACAGTTAAGCATTTCAGATCCTTGGAATAGTTCACCAAAAATGAACATTCTGTCATCATTTGCTCACTCATGTTGTTCCAAACCTGTATGATTTTCTTTCTTCTGTGAAACCCAAAAAGAGATATTTTGTAAAATGTCCCAGCTTTTTCTTCCTATAACAGTGAAAGTCAATGGGGTCCAAAATTGCATTCTTCAAAATATCTTTGCTTGTGATCTACAATAGAAAGAAGTCATCAGGTTTTGAATTACCTGCGGGTGAGTCAATGATGAAGGGATCTTTTTATATATATTTGGCTGAATTATCCCTTTAAACACCTAATTTAAGCTCAACTGCAAATGTTTTTATTTTAAACCTATGGCTGAGCAAGAAAGCATTACAGTGGATTTTCAGTTTGTATTTAAATAACAAGCCTGTGTGTGTATTTTAATGAGCTCTGGGACTTGACGTTTGACCTCACACAGGTTCTTCTGAGACTTTCAGCGATAACACACCTAATACAATAAGCATGCCAAACATCACAACTGCAGAAGAGAGAGGGAGATAATTCTGAAAGCGAAAAGGATGTCTAGTGCGATCAACCAAATAAAGTCTGTGTATTAAAATGGCCAAAATTCCAACAACTTACCCTATTCAGAAAAACAAATTGAGTTTATCTGGTGTGCTTTTTGATTGGTAATTGGTGCCTGTACATTCAGATGTGTTATGTTCTGATTCAGATAGATAGAAGGTTAATAAACATCCTCAAACAACAACAAAGTGTCTGTTAATCCATCCAATGCTTGGTTTATATATAATGAGCCTTCATAAATGCCTGATTACACACTGCCATCAAGATCCAGCATGAGGAAGAACAGTAATATGAAACATAAACATGTCTTTTAGTTTATAAATAGCCACAGGTTTGAATATCACACTAATCTTTCATACGTGTTTACCCAACACTTACTTACAGCAATTAAACGCCCTGGTGCTTGTCTTTCTAGGACTCTACTAATCTGGTTTGATTTGTTTACTTAGTCTGATTTGTGGAAAACACATCTATGTCTGCCAGCCCCTCTAAACCCTAAAGATTTACAGGCTTTGACAAAAGAGCCAAATTTTATGATTGTTCAAACAACCCATGAATTCAAATGAATCCGGAGAACACCTGAATTATTCTGGTTTTGTCTTGGATTATTTGTTATTGGAGTATTTGACCGCCCACCCATCTGTGTTATATGTCATATAGCACTGAGTGACAGGTCGGAGAGAAGTTGTGGAAGAACATGGGCCTTGATAAGCTTTTATTAGTCCAAGTGTGTGCGTGTAAGTGCAATCTGATCCTCGTGATCGTATGAGGAGGCACAGCTGGTAGTTACAGAGTGAAAGGAAACTAAGCCAGGGGGCTCACATCACTTTTCTCTCTCCGATTCACTCTCCTCCTTGCTCATTTCTCTCAGCACCTCTGATGCTCTTTAAAATATAACAGCACACACACACACACACACACACACACACTGGAGCAGCTGGCTAACAGACCACACTGTTTTGCATTGTAAGGCTTTCAGGGACTCAGCAGGAGCAAACACACACACACACACACTCCAGTAATTACATGACATCATTCAAAGCATCTCCGTCACAGCAACTTTATTTCATCATTAGACCTCACGGACAAACACGCTGCTGACACTCTGTGCAGCTACATCCAACTTAACCGCTCATCATCACACTGAGTCTCCTACACAATCACACATCTCTGTTAAACACCGCCAGAAGTTGCTTAGAAGAGTCCAGTTGTTTAACCCTCATGTTTTTTTGAGATACACCTTATTGTTTTTATTGGTGTCCCAGAGATGAATAGTGTAGTAAAAATACAAATGAAAACCACCTTGTTTTTCCTTTAATGTTTTTTTTAAATTATTATTATTAAAACCAAGCAGAAATTGTATTGATGCATTATCACTCTGTTGCATGACAAAGTAGATAAACAGTTCTCAGATATGTGATTAGTATCTGTTCTATAGTATAACAGTATGACCCCAGCAACAACCAATTGTCAGAAATTACAATAAAAGAAATACAAATTAACAAGTGGTAAGATTGTATCTACAGTGTGTACACATTCAAATTCATTGCATTTATTTATTTGTATTTATTCAACTTTTTTTTCCATGAAGGCTAACTGAAGCATGTTATAATGTTGACATTTTGTTCATAATCAGTTCTCCAACAGGAAATTTCAAGAAGTGTTAACCTGATTCTTCAATGTAAAGTATGTTTTTTTAGCTATTAAAATGCCCTTTGGGTTAAAATGAGTTTAAAATGTTTCATTTCTTAGAACAGTCAAATTTAAGGGAAAAGAAATACATATACTATTAATACTAATGATAGTATTAATATTATACACTATACTATCAACTATTAATACACTATATTAATATTATAACTGTTCATATAGAAACTATCCCTAGTTCTTGCATATAGTAACCATATTTTATATTTCCATATTGAGGTTTATGAAGTTTGATTTTCATTCAAAAATCAAACATATTCCATCACTCCTATAGACCCAATTATATTACAGTAAAAATCTGTAACATTTCCACCAAAATGCTATTTCCAGAGAAATAGTCCTTCAAAATACTACAGTAAAACCATAGCACATTTTTAAGGGTATGACAGGAAAAAAAAGCATGACCCTTAATCTGCTGTATGTCAAGATGCGTGTGGTCCCCTAAGCTGAAGACACTTGCAATGCAGTCTAACACGCATACGCATACTGTCCATCATTCATTATACCTTTCTCTCTAATGCGCAGCACGCCTCAGCCAATCAGAGGTTAAAGGGCAAGTCGGTTCTAACGCATGCTAAAGAGAGACACCAACACATACACACCCCTCTAGCTGTTCTCAAAGACATTAAGCACAGAATAGAGGAAATATGATGCATTTTTGAAGTGCAAACAAAGATATTATGAGTGTACAATTTAAATATATGTGTGGAGCATATACTGGCTTTCATGCATGTACAGTATGTGTGCATTTGTCTGCATACTTGTTCATTAGTGAGTGTATGTGTATTCTGAGAACAGAATTCACACATTAGCTGTTGGTGTTGTCATAATGATTTTGGCAGTTCAGTAGCTGTAATAAACAATCACAACTGCACATATACCTCCTCAGTCCAGAGATTTTTGTCAAAACCTCATGCAATATTTGGATATTGTGGCGGGGTGGAAGGATCACGCAACAAGGAGAGCTTGGTGTAAGGCTGATATAAAGGACTGGATGCTCCTCACCTTCCTGAATCTGGGAGAGGACGGCTCCAAGTCCTGTGTCGGAGGCATCCGTTTGCAGCAGGAAGGGACAGCTGAAGTTCGGGGCTCGCAGTACCGGCTCCGAGGTGAGCGCTGTCTTTACCTTCCGGAAGGCCTCCTCCACCTTGGGTGTCCAGCACACCTTCTCTGGCTGCCCCTTCCTGGTCAGGTCTGTCAGGGGGGTGGCTAAGGAGGAGAAGTTAGGGATGAAACAGCGATAGTACCCCGCCAACCCCAAGAAGGCTCTTACCTGGAAGCCCAGGTACTTTGCCTCAAACAGGCCCAGGTGACATTTTGCAGCCCAGCCCTGCATAGCTCCATCAGCACCCTCCACAGACGGTCTAGGTGGTCTTCCCAACGCTCGGAGTGGATTACCATGTCATCCAGATACTCCGCTGCGTAGGACTGGTGGGGCCGCAGCAAGATGTCCATCATGCGCTAGAACGTGGCGGGAGCCCCGTGCAGCCCGAAGGGAAGGGTCCGGTATTGCCAGTGTCCACTGGGGGTGCTGAAGGCTGTTTTGGGTTTGGCAGTTTCAGAGAGGGGCACTTGCCAGTACCCTTTTTTGAGGTCAAGTGTGGAGATGTACCGGGCCCTTCCCAGGCGATCCAGGAGCTCATCCACCCGCGGCATTGGGTAGCCGTCGAACTCCGAGACTTCGTTAAGGTGGCGGAAATCATTGCAGAAGTGGAGGGTGCCATCTGGTTTTGGTACCATGACGATAGGGCTGGACCAAGGGCTGTTAGATGGTTCAATCACCCCTAACTTCAGCATTTGTTGGATTTCCTCCTCAATAGCCTGCCAACGAGCCTCTGGGACTCGGTAGGGCCGTTGCCTGACAATGGTTCCTGGTGGTGTGTGGATCTCGTGATGGAGGACCTGGGTCCGCCCGGGGATTGGGGAGAACACATCGGGGAACTGGCCAACCAGGTGCTGCAGCTCGGCCTTCTGTGCTGCCGACAGCTGTGGGTTGACGTCCACGACCACCGTCTCCACTGTGGCGAGGGTGGCAAGCTGGTCCCTTGTCCCCACCCATTTCTTCAGCAGGTTAATGTGATATAGCTGGTCTGCCTTCCGCCGTCCCGGCTGGCGGATACGGTAAGTGATGGGACCAATTTTCTCCATGACGGTATACGGGCCTTGCCAGCTGGCCAGGAACTTGCAGGCCGAATTGGGGACAAGGACCATCACTCGGTCCCCCGGCTGGAATTCTCGAGGCTGGGCGGCTCGGTTGTAATGCCGCTGCTGCGCCTGCTGAGCCTTGGGGAGGTGCTCCCGGACTAACGGCATGACCCGGTTGATTCGTTCCCTCATTTCTTTCACA